GTTTGGATCTACCACATGTGAGAGGATACATATCTATAAGTAGAAAACACTTCACCACAGTTCATGAAGTATGTCAAATAAAAATGTATTTCAACTGTCTTTCTAGTTCAGGCTTTTCTTAAAGCCCTCATGATCAATCAATCAATCAATCAATCAATCAATCAATCAATCAATCAATCAATGTTTATTTATATAGCCCAATATCACAAATGTTACATTTGTCTCAGTGGACTTTACAGTTTGTACAAAATATCAGTATGACAATACGACACCCTCTGTCCTTAGACCCTCACATCGTACAAGGAAAAACTTCCGAAGAAAACCCACAGTTTAAGGGGAACATGGGAGAAACCTCAGGGAGAGCAACAGAGGAGGGATCCCTCTCCCAGGACGGACAGACGTGCAATAGATGCCGTGTGTAAATTGAAAAGATAATACATTTGCAACATTTGGTCACACATGGTCTGATCCAAATGAAGTACTTTTGCTATAAAACAAAGGAAACACTGCCCCTCTGTGGATAAACGGAGGATCTACTGATACTGATTAGATACTACAGAACAATGTTTTAACCTATGTCACTTCCCCAGGTGTTTACTTTTTTTATTAATACAAGTTTTCTAAAATGGTATGTTTAGACATGTGAACGGGGTCAATATTTTTTCTTGAATATGCGTTCATTTGCATAGAATAGAAATATGAGTATTAGATGGACATAAATACTGGACATAAATATACACTGTTTCCACAACCCATGTTAACATATTATTAGTAGTAGACCAAAAAGGTAGATAGATATGTCACTATGTGTATAGATGTCCATTTTCACTTTTCACTTTAACTTATTCCGTACTTCATAACTTAGATGACCAAATATGTACATATGCTGACAGTTCTTTTACAGTTATTTTACTCTTATTTTTACTCATCTCCTATTTCATAGTCTTTTATTATTATTATCATTTTAATTTGTTTCTTGATTTTATTTATTTTTGATTTTATTAATCTGTGTGAATCTTTGCTGTCCTGTTTTTTCACGCTTTCCCTGTTGCTGCTTTGTACAACTGAATTTCCCCTCGGGGATTAATAAAGGTTAAGGATAATAGCAAAACTAACTCTGTCCATGTTTTTAGGAATTGAATTAGATGAAATCCGGCTATTTATTTAATCGTTTATTTGGCAGGGACAATGCACAGTAATGAACACTTAAAGCATTCAAATGTGTCAAGCGTAACAGTGCCAGATTTAGCATATGAACAGATAGTAATGAAACTCTGAAGTTTGGCGTATTTAGTGAAGTTGTGATTTCTGGCTTTCAGTATTTACATTTTATTTAAGGAACTACACTAGATGTTTTTCCCTGCTTGAGTTTGGAGTCACATGACTGTTAAACAGGTAGAACAAGGTAACAGTAGGCTGGACAGGTGACCTTTCAGGTGAAGTGACACGTAAACATAATGTGAGGGCCAACTTTTCCGTTCTTATCCCCTATCTGTCACTATTTTCACTCAATACTCTTTAAAGTTGCTAGTTATGCTGGTGTATACTGTATTATTACTTTTCATAATGTAGTTCCTTTTATTAGTATTACAGATTTTAATGTGTATATATCTCTTCTTATATCTGCTTAAGATCAATACATCTTATCTTATGTACCTTATAGGGACAATAAAACAATAAAAACATATTTCAACACAGCGGCTCTCTACGTGTAAGTGACAAAAGATTACCTAATGCAGGAGCTGCCTTTGCAAATATTGTATTTCAGTTGAGTGCATATTCACATATGACTGAGAGTTAAGGGCCCCTGGAGGTTTTGGGAGGCGTGTGGTGCAGTGGGTTGTGCGTTAGTGTTTGGATCAGGGGGTCACAGGTTCAAACCCCACTGCAGTCAGCATGTCGTTGTGTCCCTGAGACAATTCAACCCAAATTGCTCCTGTGGGGATTGCCCACAGTATCAATCAATCAATGTTTATTTATATAGCCCAATATCACAAATGTTACATTTGTTTCAGTGGTCTTCACAGTGTGTACAGAATATCAGTATGACAATACGACACCCTCTGTCCTTAGACCCTCTGTCCTTATACCCTCACATCGTACAAGGAAAAACTTCCGGAGAAAACCCACAGTTTAAAGGGAACATGGGAGAAACCTCAGGGAGAGCAAAAGAGGAGGGATCCCTCTCCCAGGACGGACAGACGTGCAATAGATGCCGTGTAAATTGAAAAGATAAAACATTTGCAACACAGTATTGAGTATGGAAGTAGCTTTAGATAAAAGCGTCTAACAAGTGACGTGTAATGTTGTTTCTAATCCATCATATCTTCAACTTGGAGAAATACTCGTGACTTTATTTGAAAAAAAGGAACACATTGGTGTAAAATAAAAGCACCATGTCTTGAGTACATTTTGAGAAGTACAACTCAAGATGCAGTTGTTTAAAAAACTAAAGACCAACAAATTAAAGTGCATTATGCTAGAACACTGATTAATTATAGATATCATTAAGGCAATAAAATAATGATACAGGCCTGAGTCAGGAAGTGAAATTATTGAGCAAGTGAGTGTGGTTAGCAACAGGAAGTGTGTAAATATTTGTAAGAGAGATAAAAAGGCAAAAAGTGAGGGAGTGACGGAGTGAAAACCTGAAGCTCGATTAGAAGTGTTTGCCGGAGGCCACATGTCTAAATGGAAACTGGCTTGTTGTTTCCTCTTAATCATGAGTCAATGGTAAACTAAGTATTAAGAATACAACGTGTTAAATGGGGAGTTTAACCACTCTAGATGTATGAGGTATGAAAGTCACTGCATTACAAACAGTAGATGGCATTCGAACACGCCCACGATTCGGAGAAAGTACCGACATGAAGCTAAGCAATATACAGCCGTTGACGGAGGAAGCAGCAAAACACATTTGAGACAACTCAATAAAATCCATGTCAGTTTAAATGTATGCTTTATTTATATTATTTCCACTGTTTCACCTTGCTGTATATGCTCTCTTCAAAGCCACCAGACTCCATTGACAAAAAAAGTCATTTTACTTTGGTTGTGCTTTTGTGTGACTACGTTAATCCAAACTAACCTTTTAAAACAGCAATAACACAAACTTATCATCTTTTTGAGGCAGCGATAAACCAGCAGTCTAGTGGCTTTGAGCATGGCAAATGGCTCTAGGTCTGAAAGGGTTGGGTAAACCTGTGAAAGTATTCTTCAATGAACATGGTTTTAGGTGGCTAAAATACATTTCCTGTTGGTTTCTCCAAACTGGGGCTGTGCAAACCCTCATTTAAAGGTCCCATGTCATGCTTTTCTGGTTATCACCCGTCCCCTTGTGTGTTATGAAGGTTTGTCTGCATGTAAACGGTCTGCAGAGTCACAAACCCTCAAAGTACACCCTGTAGAGAGTAAAACTCTAACACAGAAAATACCTGTCTATGCTGCCCCAGAACGCCTCGTTGGACATTTCTCATGTTCAATTGTTTGCTTCCTGGGTTCTGTGACGTGTGAACACCCAGATCAACAACAAATGGCCGGATTGGCCCAAATGGACCAATCCGCGGAGTACCTCACACACCAGGATCCCTTGGCTAACTAACAGGGAGTCCCATTGACTTGCATAGAGCTCCCTGAACGCTGGTCGAGTTGGGATCGTGGAGAAATGCTCTCCGCAGCAGACCCATTCTCACAGCGTTATAAACCTTTTTTTTTCTCAATATCAAGCCACACTTATTGTTTTTACTTCGGCTGTGAGTGTTTGTGTGCTCAGGATGAGTTTCGCTGTGTTTCGCTGTATCGCCGACCCGGAAACCTGTCCGCTCCTCGCAGCAACGAGCCTCTCAACGTCCCGACCAATCAGAGCACACTGGGCTCACAGGGGGGGGGGCAGGAGCTCCAACAAGCCGTTTAGGACAGAGAGAATACACATACTATACAGAGATGCTGTGAGAAACCAATTTCATTTTGGAAAATTGCACAATTTAAATCTATTCTAGTAGACCTCAACAATGGAAACATGATCAGTAGAAATGGCCATGACATGGGACCTTTAATACAATGACCTTGTATATGACCCTCATACAACCTCACTTGAAAACATTTAAACTGAGTCTTTAACCCAGTAAGGTTTCTTTGGTTAAATCCTGCCACTAAAGTAAAACTAGCAGAGCAAAACTTACTGTAGGTATAGGTCATTGTAAGTCATAATAACTTGGATTCATATATCGCCTTTCAAGAAACCCAAGGGCGCTTAACAATAGGACGAGGGGTCGAGGGGGGTGAAAAGGAAAACAAATAGGAAGATAAAAAACAGAGAGTTAACTGAGTCTGAAAGCCTTGAGAAACAGATGTGTTTGAGTGCTTTTTTTTATATCAACAGTCAGCGGTCCTGATTTCAAGTAGGAGGGGTACCACATGTTCTGGTGTTTACACTGTGAAATAAAGAGAGCTTTTGAAAAATATTGTTTAAGCAGCTGAATAGCATTTATGTGTGTTTCCCCTGTTCTCAGTGTGCAGAGGAAACTTAACGTGCTTGATATTATTTCAGTGACGTCAGAGTGGAAAGATGTGTTTCCCTTCTTGTCATCCTTAAGTATACACACACCCTCACAAATATGCAAACATTTTACTCCACTCTGTCTCTCTTACACAACACACTTCTAATGCACCCTCTCACCTAACAGTTGCCATCTAAATGCCTCAGCCTTTTTCTAACATTAACCCTAAGTCTAAGGCCTCAAACACATTTTGAGGAAGCACAGAAACAACTACTAAGTGACCCTCAACAAGAACAGAGAGATATATAACACCTACAAAGATTCTCAAAACATCGACAAAGCAACTACACACAGTGGCTGAACAACACATGTAAAATAATATGAGGCAAACAACAGACTAGGCCCTGGGGTATTTTCTTCCTCCACTGAATATAAACCCTCGAGTCCTGTGTGCCTACATTTCTCACAATACTTTACCTGGAACATGACAGCATGTAATAGTCTACAGTGCAGGCTCACACACATTCACGATGTGACTTTGGGGCAGGACGATTACTAGAAAGAAGACATTTTTGTAAGGTGAGAACATTTGTGTTGTCTCTGTTAATTTGAAATTGCAGTCCATTTGTGTCTTCTTATAGTTCATTTGAGTATTTGTAGAATGTCTGTCTATTTGTGGTTCTTTTTAGTTGTTTTGTGCCCTTTTGTAAAATATGTTAAACTATCATTAAGACAAATAACTCCTGTAATATCCCTGGGTTAGGCTGCAAATGCTCTACATTTAACTGAAGCCATTTATTGTAGAGATGTTAAGAAAGAATGGCTCTTCGGCCTCCAGAATTTAACTACAATCACTCTGTATTTAAATAATAGCTTTTAATGTATCCCCGCAGTCTGTACCTAAACTGTGTGATCTGTGGTCAGATCTGCTGCAGCTTGTCATAGCCTGTTTGTCAGGTCTGTGTGGACTGAATGAACTCTGAATAGATTCACTCACAAAGAATGTGCCAGGGGAGTTCACACCCACACAGCCAGGACACCTTTCATTTTTTTTACGATTGTGCATCGACCGAGGCATTAGATTGAATTACCTGAGATTTGACGACACTTTCCAAATATCTTCTACATTAACTACAATATTAAGGTGTCAGTGAACACACCACACAACAACTTTCTCTACTCAGTCTGACCACGTTATACAAGTTTACTGTGTTAATGCAGCTCACGTCTGAGGGTTTCTTTCACACGATTTTTGTTCTCAGAAAAGCACCTTCTTCCTCCTGAATGACCCACCCGGCCGCTGTCTAGAGAAATACACAGCAATGCAGAGTTTCCGGTATCGCGTTTCAATATAAAACACGTATTGACGCGTAATGGCAGTGGCAAGCTCATGGCTGTATAAAGGAAAGGGCTTGCTTCTCAATCTCAATAGTTCTTGTATGTAAATTACTGCACCAAAGCTACTCTAAAGTCAAACTCCTCTCGTCTGCTTTTTGGTTGATTAACCCAGGATAGATACAGATCAAATATAGGTTTATAATTTAAATATAGGCCTATAACTCATGTGCCAAATCAATCTGTATGCACGAATGCAAGATGTATGGTTACGTAGATTTAGGATTACAACTTTTTGTAATTGGTATTTAGTATATATGTGTTTTTCCAAGATTTGGATTCAAGATGTTTGTCTTTAATCTGGTTATATTCGTACAATTGTGTGATATTCTTGATATTTTTGATAGGATAAACCATAAAAACATCTGAAATTGATTACAAAAACACAAGGCTAAAATGAAATTAAGATAACAACTCTAAATAAATACATGCATAGCCGATTATACTATTTTTTCTAACTATGCCTGACTACTTTTTCATTGCTGCTATTATGGAGACTACACAAACAAGCAGTTTTATAGCACTTGTGATTTCTAGTCAATGTTTTATTTGACGTTTACATTTCCATTAAAAAACATGTATATGATCCATCTAGTATTGTGAATGAAAGGGATTTCTTTCAATTACGCTTTTATTTTTGTGACAGAAACCTTTCACTTCCGGCTGTCTTTTAAGTAAATGAAGTATCTTGGAGCTTCTCACTTCTGAACTATATTCAATCTGTCAAATATTTTCTGCCTCGGCGGGCGGAGGTCGAGGAGGAGGAAGACGCTTCAGCTGAAGGAACTCAAACCACCAAAAAGTGAGTGAAATGTCCGAAAAATAAACCTGTTCCCAAAGTGATGCGCACGAGTTTTAATAAGTATCTTGTTTGTTTTGAGACTGTTGAGGAACTGTCTTAAACTGCACAGGGTTCAGACATTACAGCATGCAAATGACTGACTTTAAAGGACTCAACTCAGTCAACTAACGAGGTTTATACCAATACTCGGTCAGTGGTAGACAGTAACGAATTAGGCTACTTACTAAAGTAGAAGTACTGTTATGAGGTACTTGTATGCTTACTTAAGTACAGAGGTGGAAAGTAACTAAGTAGTTCTACTCAAGTACAGTACTCAGTGGTTTAATGTAACTTAGTACTCGAAACTACTTTGAGGTACTTGTACTTTACTTGAGTATTTCCATTTTCAAGATTCAAGGCTTTATTGTAATGTGCACAGCTACAGTGTATACACTGAAGTCTCAGGCTCCTCCAACAGAGCAACATGAATATATATGGGACATAAAACAAGTAAAACAGATATAATAGTGCAAAACAATGTTTTGAGATGTGCAAGTAAATACAAATAAAATAGAAAAAGTGCAAGAAGAGTCTATATACCAGTAATGGAGTATGATATATGAGATGCAAACAGGTGAATGTTTATGGATGTTCTTTAGAGAGTTCTGTTTGTGTGCTTCTTTGTACTTCTACTCCACAAAAAATCTGAGGTAAATACTTTTACTCCACTACATTTATTTAATACCTTTAGTTACTTTACAGATTTGGATGAATGATGTGAAATATAATCAGGTCTTAAATCAGACTTTAGTTCCACCTGGAGTAAATCCACAAGCTACCCTGCAGTCATTCAAACTAGCTGCTCCTTTACCAGCTTTGAGAACACTTTCATGATCAATCATTATAAAACATATCATATCTCATATAAGTACAAGCAGGGCCGGCCCATAGCACTGGCGTTATAGATGTTCGTCTGGGGGGGGCTACGCTGACAGCTCTGGGAGGGAAAAAAACATTTTTTTACCGTTGGGGCTCATCCTAATTTTCGGCCTTGATGTAACTACATTCATAATTAAGTAAATGTAACACCCTTTTCACCCCGGTTACACGTTTCATTTGCCCTGTACGATGGGCGCTGTAAGTGATGAAAATGGGGGATGTTGGCTTATCAGGCACCCGCGGCTCACAGCCAAAGTGCGAGCGTGGGAGCGAGCAAGAAAGAGAGAGAGAGAGGGCGCACCGGTACCGGCGCTGTTGTTATTAGAATCTGCTAAATCGGCTAAAATCTCGCCTAGGGCAGCACATTGTCTAGAGCCGGCCCTGAGTACAAGATCTGGGTACTTTGCCACCTCTTCTTAAGTATTTCCATTTCTGCTTCTTAATGCTTCTTCTCCACTAGACTACAACTCAGAGCCAAATCACTTGTATTACTTTGAATACATAAATGAATGTACAACATATCATCAACATATGCCTAATTATCATTTATCATATGATATATTAAATAAGATGAAGTTACACTTTATGAATCGCTTGATAAAATCCCATTCCAGCCATTTGCTTAAAAATAACCTTACCTTGAACTTACATGAATCTTTAAAGCAATGAAAATGATTATACAATAGTATAGAATATATTATTTTGAAATGAATATTTTGTACAGAATGTGTGTCTTTATTTGTGTATTTTTTTACTTTTAGGTACATTTTGATTTGAATACTTTCACTCCTTACTTTTTATTGTGTAACAGAGTTTTTTCACTGTAGTATTCCTACTCTTACTGAAGTAAAGAGTACTTTGTCGACCTCTGTCACGGACAAGGCGGCTCTAAAACAGCGAGTGGGGAAAAATAACCTTGTTGTTTACTTACAATTTTTGACCTTTCCTTTTTGTCAGTTATCCAGTACTTAAACAAACTGTTTACATGTTTACAAAGTAGTGCTGCTAATGCAAATATCTTATCAGCCCATCACGTTGCAGCCACTCAATGTCCAGGGCTTGTCGACTCTGAAGTTCAAATTAATCAACAGAAAAAGTTAAAATCAGGAGAAAATGTACTTCGTTAGTCAAACTGTGTCAAATTGAGCCAAACATATTTTTTCAGTCCAATGGGAAAGATAAATGGGATGAGTCAGTCTGGATTGAATCCATTTGAGGAGCAACACGATGTAATAACATTTATTTCCATTAAAATTAGCAAAAGGCTACATTTGTATACCTCGGAGGACAAACTTCTTTTAACTTCATGGTCCTTTGAGCAGCTTCCTCGAACTCTGTATCCTTTCTTCTTAAAGGTCCCATGTCACGGCCATTTCTACCGATCATAATTCCATTATTGAGGTCTACTAGAATAGATTTACATTGTGCAATGTTCCAAACTCACATTGGTTTCTCATTCAGCATCTCTGTATAGTATGTGTATTCACTCTCTGTCCTAAACGGCTTGTTGGAGCTCCTGCCCCCCCCCCCCCCCCCCCCCCCCCTCCCTGTGAGCCCAGTGGCCGTCTGCGAGACACAGCCCGAAACCAGCCCGAGCACACACACCCGCAGCCTCGCCGCGTCCCGCCGTCTCAGGCAGAGAAATTGTAACTATACGCAGACGTAACTATACCCAAATATGTCACTGTACCCAGGAAGAAAAAGAGAAATCTCCAACGAGGCGTTCTGGGGCAGCATACACAGGTCTTTTCTGTGTTAGAGTTTTACTCGCTACAGGGTGTACTTTGAGGGTTTGTGACTCTGCAGACCGTTTACATGCAGAACAACCTTCATAACACACAAGGGGACGGGTAATTACCAGAAAAGCATGACATGGGACCTTTAAAACCTCAAGAGGGGCCTGTTTGAGTATTTCAGACTTACTTGTTGTTTTCGTACACAACTATCTCTAGGTTTAACTGAGAATGGTGCAAAAAAAAGAGAACACATCCAGTGATAAGATACAGACTTACGACAGTTACATAACTTATGTTTCCTGCCTACATCTTTGCACAGTGATATAACTGAGGTTATCAATGCAACCAACATGCTTAACCCACAGCCGCAATATGACTAACGTTAACTAAAACAATGAAAGATACAATATTTACAACCTGGGAAACTGCAGAACGGGAAATAAAATGAGGACATATTCATAAATACATGCAGAAGGCACATCTGATCACTGATGGTCCACGCTACAGTTTGATGTCATTTGATAGCACACATTTTAATCCCTCTTGAAATACGTGAAAACAGATATAAAAATGACTTTCCCGTTGAACAAAACTGAATTGAATTCCAGGATAACATTTCTTCCTTCCTTTTTTCCCCCTCTATTACTAATGTGTTTCAACTCATCATTAGCATTAGATTCATGTTTGGTGGAGGTAAGCCTGGGTGGAGGGGTCATACACAATTTCACCGAGAAAGCAGCTTTTCAAAGTCAATGTGAACTTTATTGTCAATCTTTCAGTTTGTGTGTACAGACAGAGATATCGAAATGGTACAATTGTGTTCTAGGAGGAGGTTCAGGTGATAAGGTGTGTGTGGGGGGGGGGTTACCTTGGTTGGTGATTGGCTAATGGTTACACACGCCACACAATTATAAAGTGGCCACAATCTGATCAGCTCATTTTCAGACAGGTTTTTATAGAAATGGATCAGGACAAAAAGAGAGATAATCTTTGTTCCTGAAACTTTCAGAGACATGAAGAAGAGGGGACACATGTTGATGTAGAAGAGACATGAAGAAGAGGGGACACATGTTGATGTAGAAGAGACATGAAGAAGAGGGGACACATGTTGATGTAGAAGAGACATGAAGAAGAGGGGACACATGTTGATGTAGAAGAGACATGAAGAACAGGGGACACATGTTGATGTAGAAGAGACATGGAGAAGAGGGGACACATGTTGATGTAGAAGAGGGGACACATGCTGATGTAGAAGAGACATGAAGAAGAGGGGACACATGTTGATGTAGAAGAGACATGAAGAAGAGGGGACACATGCTGATGTAGAAGAGACATGAAGAAGAGGGGACACATGTTGATGTAGAAGAGACATGAAGAAGAGGGGACACATGTTGATGTAGAAGAGACATGAAGAAGAGGGGACACATGTTGATGCAGAAGAGGCATGGAGAAGAGGGGACACATGTTGATGTAGAAGAGACATGAAGAAGAGGGGACACATGTTGATGTAGAAGAGGGGACACATGTTGATGTAGAAGAGACATGGAGAAGTGGATTTTGCATAATAGGTAACCTTTAACATCTTCTCCGCAGGAACCCAGTGTGCGTCACTCAGCTACCGACAGTAATGGCGACCACCGTGATGGATAGAATCGGGCGAGTGTTCATCAGCCTGCAGCAGATCAGGGAGGTTCCCCAGATGCTGAACGAGGCCGCCCCCTCCATGCCCGGCACCCTAAAAGACTCCGAGGTTCCCACCTACTTCAGAGAGCGCTACGTCAGCACCGGCTACCGACCCCTCAACCAAAACTGGCGCTACTACTTCCTGTCTTTATTCCAGCGCCACAACGAGACCATGAACGTCTGGACTCACCTGCTGGCGTTTTTAGTGCTTCTGATTAAATTCAGGCAACTCGCTGAGACTGTGGACTTTGTTAGTGATCCTCATTCGTGGCCCCTGTTGATCCTGATCGTGTCTTCCTTGATCTACACAGGTTTCAGTACAGTAGCCCACCTGCTGGGCGGCAAGTCTGAGCTGTGTAATTATAGTTTCTTCTTCCTGGATTATGTTGGGGTCGCACAGTATCAGTACGGCAGTGCTGTGGTTCACTTTTACTACGCTGTGGAAGAGGGCTTCCACAGACACGTTCATGGGATCTTCATGCCTGTCGCGACCTTCCTCAGCTGTCTGTCATGTCTGGGATGCACCTATGGGAAGTACTGCAACTACAGACGTCCCATGTGGGTGCGTAAGGTGTGCCAGGTGGTGCCCTCAGCACTTAGCTATATGTGGGACACTAGCCCTGTGGCATATAGATTAATGTCATGGTATAAGAACAGCGATGATCCAGCGGTTTTCTATCATTTTGGCCAGGTGGCTTTCTTTCTTAGCTGCGGCTTCTTCTTCACCTGTCCTGTTTTAGAGCGATGCTTCCCTGGGCGGTGCGATTTTGTGGGACAGAGCCATCAGATATTCCATGTCTTTCTGTCTTGCTGCACCCTGTGTCAGATCCATGCCTCCTACCTTGACTACGTGGGCCGCAGGGAGCTGTACTCGCGTCTGCATGGGAGCGATGAGGCGGGTCTCTTTGTGGGACTGTATGTGTTAGTGTTAATTGGTTGCTCACTTATTGTTTTCTTAATGCTAAGGAAAGTCAAAAAACTGCTTGGTTGCAAGTCCAAATAATAGATAAGAGATTGTAGGAAAGGCATTCATGTGCCTTTATCGTCTCAGACTTACTGCCCATTTTCCGAAACCCTAATAGTCAGAGAAATGTCCCCTTTGCCTCAATTGTTTTTTCCTATAACGTCGAAGGCCTTTAATTGCCTACTCTGCCTCTGACTGGATAGTACTTGTTGCCTTTATTTGTTGGGTTGTTTAGGTTTAGACATTCGATTAGTGTGGTTCTATGCCTTTACCATAGGGATAACGGGCAGTTGCACAAATGGACATTCAGATAAATTGATTTTGGGTCGGGACATTTTCAGACAATTGGAGTTTTGGAATTATAGAAATTAGGGCCCTAGAAATGTTGGGTGTTTGTTCTTGGGATAACAATCTATCAGACCAACTGGCTTTGGGTCCAATGGGAAAATAAATGTAATCTGAATAATGGGCCATCAGAGCATTGGCGTTACACACTGACAGACAGGGAACTAACCATACGCTTGTTTTATGTAAATACTTGTTTCATTTTGCATATTTCATAACTGTAAGGGCCAGATTACAAAAAGGAGCAGCGAGTATTTTGGGACTGAATTGTATTTGTATAGAGTTTGTGAAAATATAAAATGTTTAAAGCATCAGCCAAGACTGGTACATATAACTTTTTACAGCTTATAGACATTCAAAATATCAAATATATAACCGAGAAACGAATGTGTGCTTGTTGCAAGTTCAGACAATGTAAACTAGTAACATCACCTAGAAATCTACCATTCATACCGTAAACTACAATGTTTCTCCATGCCGGGCCTGGTCATTTGCACATGTTATGTAATATTTGGTATAAAGGTGGTGCTGAGCGAGTGTTATTTTGTGAATGATGCCGTTCTCAACCGCCAAATGCCATCAGATAATTGCACAGTGTCCAGGCTCTTCTGAGAGCAAAGCCTTAGGATTTAAGTTGCCATTTTCATGGTGTTGTACATGTAGTTTGGACACATGTGAGGACTTATGATGACATTTCATTGCTAGTGTATTACCTACTATGATAGGCAAACGTTAGCATGCCCCCAGTCAAATCAATATTCAGCCTTGGACGGGGGCAGCAGTTAAAACCTATTTAACCCGTGAATCAATATCAGTTTGTGTTTGCCAAATTTCAACATGTTCAGTGCTTTACCTTTCACTCTCCTGTGTTCTTGTAGTTAATATGACTGTTTAACATGGACTCTGACGGCTTTGAAATGAGCATAGATAACTTGTTTCATTTCCCCGTCATAAAGGGATGTCTGACAGCAAGGTAAAGCAGTAAAAGTATTACAAAAGATAGTGTCCACTTAAGCTAATTATTCTCTCATACAACCCTATTTTGAGAAATCAAAACTATCTAGTTAACATGTTGTCCTTTTGCTAGCTCCTTTTTAGATATAGCAATACACTGCCTTGAACTATTTAAGAAAGATAGATATTTTACGAGGGATTTAATATATTAGTCTTATATATTTGATGAATGTTTTGTATGATCACTGTATTGTATCTTATGGGGAATCTTGAATGCTTCCCTTTTATTCCATAAGGGGAGAAGTGAATGTTGGTAAACGAGGGTACGTATTACAGATGAAGGTACCATATTATTTTAAATCTATGAGAGGTTACCCGTAGTGACCAAGATGTGAAGAAAGTGAGATTGAGTTAACCCTTCGATGCCTGAGTGACTGGACCCCACACTCTTCCATAAGTGGGTCAAAAATGACCCGTATTAGAATAATGTGCTTTTATGCCATTTTTTTTCATTTTGTTTAAGAAAAATCACTTGTATAATATTTAGTATTATATTTTGGTTCACACTAGAAATATTTATATTTAATTTTTCACTATTTATAATTTTAGACATTTTTTTTACATTTTGAAAAAAACCGTTTTGAACATATCGATGCAAAGATCTCCGCTATTCTGAGACCCTCACAGTATCCCAGTCCCTTTTCAAAACTCATCTCTTCTCCTCTTGTCTACTCATAGCCCACCCCCCATCAATCCATGCCGGTTGATCAAGTTTGATAGTCCTATACCCCCCCCCCCCCTAACCTTCCCTTAGATTGTAAAGCGATTTTGAGTCCTTGAAAAGCCCTATAAAAATATAATGTATTATTATTATACTGACAGGTTTCAGATCTTGCTGTGTAAAATAATCTTCCCGAGAGGTGTCACTTGTGATGTCGTCTGTGTGTCCTACAGTGAATGTATTCCTGACAGCAACAGCTGATAAGAATAAAAGGTTCCCATAGGATCCCATAGAAATGCATGCGGGTCATTTTTGACCCACTAATGGAAGCTTGGGGTAGAAATACCAAAACTACAATTTCTTAAAATTTAAATTTAAAATTTGAATGGCATGATATCCAAAACATGTTTTTTGAGGAATAGCTGGAATATGAAATGATAAAAAAATGTAATTACAAAGATACTTCAAGAAAACCACCTAAATTAAAAAAAATACCCACTTATGCATCTAAGGGTTAAACAATTATCTTTTGGAGACAGAGTGTGAAGGAAGATATCATCTTTATAAAAGCACCTTTTCTTCTCAACCTCTTTGAGTTTCATATGTGCAAAAAGGGCGTGTTGACCTTTGAACACTAGTGTATACTTGTCAGTGACAAAGCGGTCATAAATAATGGTTAAAGCTCCCGTATCTGATGCTCTGATTATTTTTGGATTAACTTAGACTCTGATTGTGAATTGAGCTCTACCTTATTGTGCCTTAAGTATTTTGATATGAAACTGTTATTTCTGTTAATGCACTTTCATTTTCTCAAAATTATCTCAAACCTGTATGAGTTGTATTTTCCTTGCTATAGCCAAGTGAAGTTAATGTTGTTAATACTGTTGTGTAGGTATAGATAGTTTATGTTTAACTCGTATTATTACCATCAAAGTAACAGCAGCTCCTGCTTCTTAGATAGGTGGACCCAGTGGCGATCCTAGAGTCTGTGGGGCCCCTCGAATCAGCTTTCATCACCATCAGTGGCGCCCCAACACCCCCCCCCCCCCCCAAAGCGGAGCAAGGCAACGAAACTTATAAGAAGCAGCATTTTACGGTGCGCTATGCATGGGGCCGCCTTGAGGGGGTTTCCCGACATGTCGTTGCAGTAAATTAAAGGGTGTTTCATGTTGTCGTTGCTGTGGACCTTCTTAATCTACCTTCTTTGGGGGCCCCCCTTCTGGTCCGGGGCCCCAAGCAGTTGCCTGCCTTGCCTGTTCGCAAGGGGTGCCCCCTGGGTGGACCTACATCTACAGAATGACCTGCAGAATGAGACGAAATGATATCGCTTGTAGGAGTGAATTGTGAAATGTATTTCATTCAATATTTAACAAAAGATGCGTAAATCAATATGCCTTTGAAATTCAAAAAAAGAGGCGATTTATATAGATGAGTTATTAAATGATTAAATGAGTATGCATAGACTAAACCACAAACCATGAATTAGAATTTAAAGATTGTAAAATAGAGAAATGTGGTATAGTGAATCTAAAAAAATGAAATAAAATCATGCTTTGAAATCTATTTATCTATAAAACAATAGTGACGCATTTCTATATTTTTGAATGTATACATTTGTATGGCCTTGTGTGTATTTAGGGATATATTGGATATTGAACACAATATTGAATCAAAGATGGCATTACATAATTCATTGCAAAAATATGTATGGTAATAATACAGCCCCTGTAATTTCCCTGTTAAAAAGAGTTACTTTTTTGTGGGGATATATGTGTTACTGCAGGTGCTGTATTATTTCTTTATGGAAGAGTTGTGGAGAAATATGATTGTTGTTTGGTCTCCACAGCCATTTGCAAACTGTACAGATACACTTTGATACCTAACATGTGTGTTGATACTCTGTAAATCTTGTCTTGCCACTTTCACTGTGCCTTATTGTTCTGATTCAACATAAAAACATGGATTTGTAGTCCAAGATGTTAGGATTATATGCAAAGGAAGCATTTCCTCAGTAATGAAATAAAACATGTTTCATAAAACTGGATGATGTATTAATACAATTATTTGATTCTACATCTTACCAATAAGGTGACCCAATATCATTAAATAATCTAAGTTAAGCGTAAAAAAAACAGAACCAGTAAAACAAAGAGATTTCATGAAAAGAGAGTCCATGTAGGAAAGATGTCAGATGTAACGAGTCCTCGCTTGACTGGTAGAACAGCTATTTGCCTGTATTTGTGAAAATAAACGAGGGCACGGACATGCAAAATGTCTTCACTTCAACTCGTAAAACAAGTAACACAGACGCTTTAGTTGTTAATCCTGTTTTTGTTGTCCCTGGATCTCTTGTGCCTGATTGCCTTTCTTCATGGTCAATGTGAGTCTCTGTTTCTCTCTGCAGTTCACTTTGGCGTTATTTTGGTCTCTTTCTAGTCTCGTTGTTTTATGCTTATTTGTTGTCCTTTTGAGTCTCTTCCTGGTTGTTACGTGGCTCTTGAGTAACATTTTGTAGGTGAAGGCCAGCGGGGCCAGTGACACTATGGACTCTTCGCTATGATCATTAAGCAATCCATCTATTGATATATGTTCCAATAAATGTCCCACGGCCCAACTCATATTTCCAAGACTGAATACCTTATGCAATGAACTAGTCAAAGAGTTGTCCTTCTGAGTCTTGAATCATCTTTTGCAAACATCATAGGTCTCTACAGCAGAGTGCGACTCCTTACACTGATAAGTCTGTTTTTATACAGTTTGAATTATACATGCTCAGTCATGAGACAATATAGACCCATGACTATGTCAACTGTCACGGCCTAAGAGGTTATATCGCACCTTGTGACTGGTCATACCTAAAGGATGTTTTCTCAATTAAATGTATATATTCGGGCATGTAAGGATATTTCATTATATTTTTTATTTCCAAACTCTTTTGAAAGGGTCCTTTGCACCCAATGGCATAGCCTGAGCTGCAGCTGATTTAACCCTTAGATGCACGATTGACTGGACCCTACACTCGTCCATAAGTGGGTCAAAAAGGACCCGTATTAGAATAATATGTGTTTTTATGCCATTTTTGTCATTTTGGTTAAGGAAAATCACTTGTATAATATTTAGTATTATATTTTGGTTCACACTAGAAATATTTTATATTTTAATATTTCACTATTTATAATTTTAGGCATTTTTTTTACATTTTGAAAATAAAATGACATTTTTGACCCACTTATGGAAGCTTGGTAATACAAAAACTACAATTTCTTAAAATGTATAACATTTAATTTTTAAATGTGAATGCCATGATATCCAAAACATGTTTTTTGAGAAATAGCTGGAATATGAAATGATAAAATGTTTTGATTACAAAGATACTCTAAGAAAACCACCTTAAGCATCTAAGGGTTAAAGAAAGAGAAAGCCCTCTGTCCAGCAATTGTTTTCAAACCAAAGCCGCAAAGATGGAAGGTCCATTAGTATGCACCACTTGTTGGTTCAGTTTCTGTGCAATGCCAGGAAGCCAGGGGGCTCCATTGTGGGACTCTGCCATTAGTCCTGAAACTAATGAGCATGAACCTCATTTGGTGTTCTGTTAACACTATTTACAAAAGTAAATCCTCTCCAAATGTCTTCTCTTTCAGAAATAGGATAGTGTTTTTCTCAGAGGGACCAAGTGCTAATGAAATACCTACTGCCCCCAAGTGGTCATGAAAATAGCAAACTGCATTGGATTAAGTCAAACTGAGAATCTACTGGGATGCAGAGTTAGAGAATTAAGGACAACAGGTGAGAAGATGGGGAAAGGAAGAAAAGTCTAAAGGCATCTGGTGGATGGAAGGAAATCAAAGACTCCAATAAAACGAATAGAGTTTTGTTGCAAAATGTTGCCGTTGCATATGTTGGTGTTCCAGGCCTTTAATTAATTTAGCGTTAGTCCGGATTAAACAAAATAAACACAGGTTAAAGAAGACATATTCTGCTCATTTTGAAGTTCATATCAGTATGTAGTGTCTCTACTTTAAAGAGTCCTCTCCTGCTGATGTTCAGGTGTATATCAGTATGTAGTGTCTCTACTTTAAAGAGTCCTCTCCTGCTGATGTCCAGGTGTATATCAGTATGTAGTGTCTCTACTTTAAAGAGTCCTCTCCTGCTGATGTTCAGGTGTATATCAGTATGTAGTGTCTCTAATTTAAAGAGTCCTCTCCTGCTGATGTTCAGGTGTATATCAGTATGTAGTGTCTCTACTTTAAAGAGTCCTCTCCTGCTGATGTTCAGGTGTATATCAGTATGTAGTGTCTCTCCTTTAAAGAGTCCTCTCCTGCTGATGTTCAGGTGTATATCAGTATGTAGTGTCTCTACTTTAAAGAGTCCTCTCCTGCTGATGTGCAGGTGTATATCAGTATGTAGTGTCTCTACTTTAAAGAGTCCTCTCCTGCTGATGTTCAGGTGTGTATCAGTATGTAGTGTCTCTACTTTAAAGAGTCCTCTCCTGCTGATGTTCAGGTGTATATCAGTATGTAGTGTCTCTACTTTAAAGAGTCCTCTCCTGCTGATGTGCAGGTGTATATCAGTATGTAGTGTCTCTACTTTAAAGAGTCCTCTCCTGCTGATGTTCAGGTGTGTATCAGTATGTAGTGTCTCTACTTTAAAGAGTCCTCTCCTGCTGATGTTCAGGTGTATATCAGTATGTAGTGTCTCTACTTTAAAGAGTCCTCTCCTGCTGATGTTCAGGTGTATATCAGTATGTAGTGTCTCTACTTTAAAGAGTCCTCTCCTGCTGATGTTCAGGTGTATATCAGTATGTAGTGTCTCTACTTTAAAGAGTCCTCTCCTGCTGATGTTCAGGTGTATATCAGTATGTAGTGTATCTACTTTAAAGAGTTCTCTCCTGCTGATGTTCAGGTGTATTTCAGTATGTAGTGTCTCTACTTTAAAGAGTCCTCTCCTGCTGATGTTCAGGTGTATATCAGTATGTAGTGTCTCTACATGTCTCCATGCTTTAATGTTCAAAAAGCTCTTTATTTTTCTCATACTGCCTGTTTTGCAGCACCTCTTTTCACCCTCTGTCTGAAACCAGAGCCCAGTCTGCTCTGATTGGTTAGCTGACGAGCTCTGTTGTGATTGGTCAACCCCGTAGAGATATCCCACCTCTTAGCCTATCATGCCCAAAAGATAATTTAAAAGTCTCTGGAGTCCATCTTTACACTTAACAGACAGGCATGAGAGTGGTGTTAAGCCAGTGGCGAACCGTGTCTATCACAACTGGACCTTCTGTAGACACACACACCCCCCACCCCCCCCCCCCCCCCCCCCACTCCGCGAAAAGGGTACTCACAACAATTCCGCAACAACATCATCTTCACCTGTTGCACTTGCCATTTCAACGTTAAAAACAATAAAACGGCATATGAATTGCTTCGTGGCATTTATCTAGATCAGGGGTTACCAACCTTTTTTTAGGATGAGGGCTACTTTCAAAAAATAAAACAAGTCGGGGGCTACTTTTACTCCTCTGTTTTTGTTTTTTGTAGTGTATATATTTAGCACATTTTAACATTATTATATGCTGACCTTTAACCTTTGTGTGCTGTTTGGGTCTCTGGGACCCGTTTTCAGTGTTTACTAAAAGAACAAGTATGCAATTTAATTATTTTAACCTGCTTTATTTGGGGGTGGACCTCACCTCCTCTGGGGGGTCCGGGGGCATGCACCCCCGGGAAGATTTTTTTTTAAATGTTAAAGTGAAATGCATCAATCTGGAGCACTTTGAGCACACAATGAATGTATGGATACAGCTCTCAACACTCAGATGAAAGGGAGCTGTATACTTTTCAATAATCCAAACATCTTTAGAATATGATCACAACCAATAACAAATCATTTAAACTGGTTTATTCTTATCTTATTTTTGCATTCTTTCTTTTTATTTATGCATATTTTACTAATCACTCCCCTTTTAAACTGTTTTTTTTACTGTCCTATAGTACACATTGGAATGATTTCTTACTTTATCTATATTAAAATAGATAAAGGTGTGCTCTCCCTAGCTCTTTCCCTCCCTCCCGAGCTCTCGCGCTCTCTCTCTCCCTCTCGCTCGCTCACAGAGGCTGTGTGCTCCTCCGTGGCGATGACGGCTTGCGTTAAAAAAAAATAATAAACATATTTGTAAAGTGGGGGGAGACAAATGGGATTTTGAAAAGTGCGGGGGATATGTCCCCCCCCCCCCCCCTGTCCCCAGTGGAAATTAGTAAGTAGTAAAAAACTGCCCCTCATGTGTTGTATAGGCTGGCATGAGGTTGTTCAATGGGGCTGATGTGTTGTTTTCTTCCCGACTGCAGCGCTGGTCCAGCAAATCAAGCAAGAACGTATATGATGATATTCATTGTGGGGGTGGGGGAGGAGGGGTGTTAGATAGACATTGAGTTGTAGTAAGTATAGAGTTCGCTATGATTTAGGTTTCGTTTATGCATATAGGGTAGATTCTTTTAATTACATTTCCTTTTTTGTTTTGTGTATTTCATACATTTTGGATTTGCTTGGCGAGCTATTTTTAGAACATTCCCCCGCGGGCGACTCACGTTGCGGTTGGCTACCCCTGATCTAGATCCTCTGTCTCGAGCCAGTTAACTACCGGGCCTTCTAGAGCAGTGGTTCCCAAACTTTTTTCCCAAGAGCCCCCCCAATTGACTCCTGTTGGAAGAGCCGCCCCCCCCCCACACACACACTCACGACTTTGATGGTTATTGGATTCCCGCTGTATGAAGAAATGGACGGCACTTGTGGAAACAATTCACAAAGGGATTAAACTGTTTAAAACACATGCTCAAAGTAAGCAGGATTTTGCCGATGTGTTTATGTGGATTCAAAAGTCGTAAATAATTTAAATGGAGGAGACCGATCTGATCGGAGCAACTGTGACACATAATCCAACTGAAACCGGCATGGACAATGACTATGTTTTAAAAATGCGTTTATCCAGCAAAGCCGGTTTGGACACTTTACGGGCAGAAGAAACATTTCTATCAAAGAAAAAATTATACAT